CAATCCTACTTCCGTAGTGATACTGCCTCGGAAACCCAAGGAGGGGTCGCTATGAGTCAGGGCTGACTCGACGGCACATAACAACAACAACAACAGCTAACACATTGTGATAGTTGGAGCTGTGTGTCAACTTGGCTGGACCCCAGTTCTGTGTGGTTGTTCCCATGACGGGATCTGATGACTGTGTTCTGAGTGGCCAATCTACCCAAGGGGAGTTCCCCTAGGGGTGTGGCCTGCTTCCAGAATATCCAGGGACATCCTGGGAAGAGAGACATTCTTCTGTGGATCGGGACCCTGGTGTGCTGACTACAACCTTCCATGAGTGAGCAGCCCACCGCTCAGCCTGGAGATCTTGGATTCATCTTTCGTTGGAGTCAACAACCCATGTACTGCCTGCCAGCCTTGGATTTCTCGGCCCCCTGCAGTTGCGGAAGCTAAGGCTATCTCCAGCCTGACGTTTCCTCCTGGAACTTTGGATTTGCCAGCTTCTATACGTTTGTGAGCCATTTTCCTAAGATAAATTTCTATCTCTCTCTCTCTCTCACTCTCTCTCTCTCTTTATATATATATATAAGCTTTGCTATTTTTTGTTTCTCTAGAAAACACAGTCTAACACACATATATAACTTAGATGTTCCAAACTTATAATCAGAACATTTTGTTATCTACGATGGGCTCCTTTGTAGAGAATGGTCTCATATTACCCACCATTCTTCCTAGTGAATGCTGTTAGTCATGAGTAAGGGTAAGAAGATAGAAAAACAAAAACAATAGAAAGTCTAAAAGTTATCACTACCACTAAATAAACAAATGAGGTTTCATATCCTATTGGAAGAAGGCTAACTGCTAGTTTTGCCATTGGTTACAAAAAATCCCATACTATATTAACAGAGATTTAGAGATGAAAATATATAAAGTGCATGTATACATATGTGTGTGTGTATCTATATACATGTGTATAAGAATTATAAATTAGTTGTCACATATGAAAGGAATTTGGCTTCTGATGTACATTAGAATCTGTTGACTAGAGAACACTGTATATTATCAATTGCTTCAAGAGCAACACTACATGAAAGCAAATCACACTAAAAATGATATAGAAATTAATTAAAGATGTGAGTGCTTTTAGAAACTGTAAAATTAAGTCATAATGAATAAATTGCAAATAATTTTAATGTGAACATTTGCCACTGATGATCATTAATAACATCATCATCACTCTCCACCAAAAAACAAACACCACTGTTGAGTCAATTGCTACTCATAGCAACCCTGCTTGGGTTTCCGAGGTGATATCTCTGTGGAAGTGGATTGCCCAACCTTATTTCCAAGGACTGGCTGGTGGATTTGAACCTCCAGCCTTCTGGTTAGCAGTCAAATGCCTTAGGTACTAGGCTACCAGAGCTCCTATGGTCACTATTAGCATCCCATAATTATCTTTGTCATCTTTATCATGTAAAACTATATGCCAAGAAAGGAGCCCTGTTGGCACAGTGATTCAGCTTTTGTTTGCTAGCAGAAAGGGAGGATGTCTGAACCCACCATGGGCTCTGCAGGTGAAAAGATTTGGCAATCTGCTGCCTTAAAAATTAAAGTCTAGGAAACCCTGTGAGGCAGTTCTACTCCATCATCTAGGGTACCTAGGAGTCAGAACTGACTTGACAACACACAACGACAATGTGCCAAGAATTATTTTAAATACTTTACATATATATTGACTAATTTAATTGTGAAATAGTCTCAGGAGGTAGAACTAAGAATATATTCAACTAAAAAGATAAGGAAAACATAGAAAATAAAAGGCTAGTAAGTGTCAAGAATAAGATTCAAATCCAAGCAGTCAACTCCATAGTATATATTCTTTAATGTTTAATTAAAAACAATACCAGGGAAGCAATATTTTTGCAAAGAAGACTTCTGTTTGAGAGATAAAGGAAGTCAAAGCTACCTAGGACTCTGAGTCAGTCTTTTGGTCTGATCAAGACATGGATATGTGAGTGTAGGAGAACAGGGTGGTCTGCCAATGATTTTGGCTCTGGCCTAGTACTGTTGTTAATAGTACTAAAGCTATTATTTAACACCTCTTTGGAGGAGGAGGTATATATGGACTCTTATAGCTAATTTAATCCAAACCTGAATTTGAAACTAATATTGCTTCTATTAAGACCACTTATTTCTGTGTACTACTGAAATTGTTACTGAAAAAAAATTTAGTGAAGGCTTCGAGGTAGGTACCTCTGACATTTTTTCAACACAAACTTGAACCGTATCCTGCTGTGTTAGCACTTGCCTTTTTGGCTGTAGGGAATGGTCCAGTACCCATAAAAATAAGTATTTACCTGTCATTTATCTCCTAGGTTACTTCAAAACATACAATACAGAATAACTGACATGCTCTAAAACAAAGAGATATTCTTTAAAAAAATGCAAAAAAAATAAAAGGTTCTAGTTTATTATTTCAAAAGGAAGAACCATGATAATCAACATGTCCATCATATACCAGGAAACAATATTGCACTGTTGCAGATGTTTCCTGAAATACAGTTATCAGCAGTCAAAAGAAATGTTACACTATTGAGATGATCTCTTGTCCTAGGAGAGAAGTACATTTCTGATATTGCTAAAAATGAAACAATTTCCTGGGCATATTTTTGACAGTTTACATTTTAATCTAAAAACAGTGATGATTCTCAATTTCATCTGATGATGAAAAAGTCTCGTGTTCATAATAAATTTGAAAACACTATAAAATATACAATATTCTAGAAATGTTAACATTGTATATTTTATAGTGCTTTCAAATTTATTGTTAACATGAGACTTTTTCATTATGAGATGAAACTGAGAATCACCTCTGTTTTAAAAGGAGCTCTAGTGGCTCAGTGCCTAAGACATTTGACTGCTAACCAGAAGGTTAGTAGTTCAAACCTGCCAGCCACTGCTTGGAAGGAAGGTTGGGCAATCTACTTCCGTAAAGATTTACCACCTTGGAAACCCAATGGGAGGTCACTATGATTTGGAATCAACTTGATGGCAGTGGGTTTGGTTTTTTATCTTTAGAAATGTTAAGTATTATTCATTACCATTTTTATACAATTAAGGCAATATAATTAAAAGAAAAATTGCATTAATTTTTTAAAATTAATTTTTATAATAATTTTATATAATATATAAATATAATATAATATAAATATAATAATATAAATTAATTTTATATAATAAAATTAATTGCAATTAAAGTAAATTATGTGCAGCAAGAAAAAATAAGTAAGCAAAATATTTTATTTCTATATGGGAAAAATGCTGGGAGGAATGATTGATTATGCGAATTACAGTGGTGAGATATTATGATAAAGAAATAGAAAAAGAAAAACAAAACAAATGAACAAACAACCAAACAAATAAAACAAGGACAGTGGGAAAGTAGGGAATTTAAATGTTATTTACTTACTATCAGGCCACTATTCGCTTGCCTTTTTCCTCTGCCATGGATCCTTTTGTAGAAAATTCCTCCTGGATTAAACTGAGTACTCCAAATAATCATATCTCTTTGATAATATACATCCATCCCTGTTATCCTTGAATTATGTTCAATATGAGAAATTTGTTGATGATCGCCACTGTAGTTGAATGGATATATAAAACCCAGGATATCAGTGTCATTAGCAATGTAGAGAACTTGATCTTCAGAGCCTGGAGATTATTACAATGAAATACAAAAATAAAGTAAATTTTAACTAACATAAAGGCAATCAAAATACTTTTAAATTATTCTGAGTTTTTATTCTTACATATTTTCTTGCTCAAAAAAAAGAACTTGATTACTGTCTTATATTATTCATGACTTATGATTTGCAATACCCATTTACATATATATATCTAAATACTGATGTACATTTTCCTACTGCAAAGTTTATCTTATATTTAAAAATTAGGTATATTAGGAGGCATCTTTTTTTATGGAGAGGGCTTATTATTTGGTAAGTGGCAATTACAGTACATTTGAATACTTTGATTCTCAGTACCTAGATACTATATTGTATATGCATAAGGGAGCTCTGGTAGCATAGTGGCTAAGACACTTGCCTGCTAACCAGACGGCTGGCGGTTCAAACCCACCAGCCACTCCTCGGAAGGAAGGTTGGGCAATCCTACTTCCGTAGTGATACTGCCTCGGAAACCCAAGGAGGGGTCGCTATGAGTCGGGGCTGACTCGACGGCACATAACAACAACAACAACAAGGTTCAAAAGTTTCTGAACATTTAATTTACTTTCATAAGTGGCCATTACAATAAACCAAAAAACATTGGGTTTTATGAGGTAGTAAATCGTTATGGAAATAGATTGTCCCATCTTTCTTTTGCAGAGTGGCTGGTGGGTTTGAACTTCCAACCTTCTGGTTAGCAGTCAAATGCCTTAAGCACTGCACCACCAGAGCTCCTTACAATAGGCTAAGAAATGAAAATTTACATATGCTGAGTCTTCTTTTTCCAGGATTCATATAACATCAATGCTATTTTATCATATTATACCAAGAGATCAAAAGTTATTACATTAAAATGCTATATATAGTATGATTATCTAAAATCCTGTTAAATGGAACTCTATCTAGGTGTGTGGATACCTATAATATTGATGTCATATCCATATTGGAAAAAGTAATACTTTATAGCAAATCTTGAAAATATGAATGAAACTTGGAGTTCTTTAAAGAAAGATTTTATATAGTATCTGCAAATTAAAAAAAAAAAAAAAAGAAGAGAGTGTTCAACTTCATAGTCTTAATAGTTATCCCTTAGAGGCTATCTACTTCTTGTGGCAGGCATTGTGCTTAGCCTTTCACAATTTATCTCTACTTCTTATAACAACAATGGAAAATAGATATTAGTATTTCCATTTTACAGATCAGAAATTAAGGCTTAGAGAGTTCAGTTAAGTACCCCAAAACTAAATAGCCAGAGGATTATAATGCTGGGATTTGGATACAAGCATATCTAACTCCACAGCCTGCACTAAATCCACTACATAATGTTGTTTCCGTCTTGTAATGGACTCTCTGATTAATAAGTTCCAGTCATACCCTGTAGCAAACAAGTACAATATTGTTTCAGTAAGAACTTATGAGCATTTTATCCATATCTAAAGAAGCTCAATACTCATGTCATATATATATATATATATATATATGCTATTTTATCAGTATTATACCAAGAGATCAAAAGTTATTACATATATATACACACATACTTGTCATGAACAAGGTTTGAATTTGAAAGCATAATTTTGTTTCAAAATCTTTATTAAAGCCATAACTAAAAATTCACATTATAATATTGATATTTAACCTTTTATTTTTATTTAAATGACTTAATAATTTTTCATATACACTAGAACAGACCCTAAATATATATTTCATATTTTATCATGCAGACTTTTAATCTTTTACCCTTCTGGCAAATTGTTCAAACACAAAGTGATTTTAATAGTAGCCATGTATTTGAGAGTCACACCAAGAAACCATGATAGATTAGATTAATTAATAACAAAGTCAACCCAACTAGCCAAATTAATCAGTGTTACAAAAGACCTCGATAATATCAGGAATCAAGCTATTGCTAAAATGCAATGTACAACTTTGTTTTTCTATAAGAAATTTAAAGAAAAATTAAATAGCTTTTATAATGATGGTCAAAGCCCTACCTTTTGCTATGCAGGTGTTATTTCTTTCTTCAAAATTCTGGTCACATACACATTTATATGAACCTTGCATATTAATACATTGGTGAGGACATGTGCCAAACACCAGACATTCATTAAGGTCTGGAAAAGAAAGAACTGAAAATAGTATCATCATACTCCAATTAGCACTTCCATTCCTTCTACATTTCTAAAAAAAATGTAGAATAAAAATTTTTTTATTCAGCCAACTGATCATTACTATTTATTTCATTGTCTTTTCCAATTTCTATATTTATTATATGTTTAGGCCATAATAATTTTTATAATAGTTTTACATAAAAGTTCATCAATTGTGCCTTGCTTGTTAATCCACTTAAAACATTAAAATATCCATTTTTATTTTTCTAGTATTTTCATTCATTCAAATAAATCCCTGTTGAAGTTTTATTTTAACCCTTCTTCCAATTACCTACCTCTACACCTTTGTAAATAGGAGCTCTGGTAGTGTAGTGGTTAAAACATTGTGCTGCTAACCAAAAGGTCAGTGGTTCAAACTCATCAGCCCCTCTGGGAGAAAGATGAGGCAGTCTGCTTCTGTAAAGATTTACAGCCTTGGAAACCTAATGGGGCAGTTGTACTCTGTCATAAAGGGTCACTATGAGTAGGAATCCACTTGATGGCGGTTGGTTGTACATTTGCATGTGTCATATGTAATTCCTTTTTCCTCTAATGTCCCTGCCTTCCTTTACATAGAATATATATAAATTTATATTCACTTTAACAGGCATGATATCCTTCTGTAGGGAATGTTCCCTTCTGACATGATTAAAGTACTGAGATGAATTCTGGCCATTCTTCTAAGGAGCATTCTGGGAGTACTTCTTCCAGGACAGATTTGTTCGTTCTTCTGGTAGGCCATGGTATTTTCAGCATTCTTCCCCAACACCACAATTCAAAGGCACCAACTCTTCCTCTTTTAGGTGTATGTGATTAATTTATTGCAATAATTCCATTTTGATTGACAATGTAAAATAATTTTTCTTTACGCAAGAATATCAAAAAGAGACAAGCTTTTAGAAACAAGCTGGGAAATGAAACCATTCTAAGACTTCAATGTACCTCTAGATAAGGCAGACTTTAGACAATACACATTTGGCTATAACCACAATAATCAAAACCATACCAGTTGTTGTCAAGATGAATCTGACTCTTGCAGACTTCATGTGGGTCAGAGTAGAACTGTACTCTTAGGGTTTTCAATGATTGATTTTTCAGATGTAGATCATCAAGGCTTTCTCATTTTTCAATTTGTACCTGCAGTGAATCCTTTCATGTCTCCTTGGACTACTATATAGTAGTGACTTAGTTTCTCCATTTTCTGCTTTCTAAGTATATTCCTCTTACAGAATTTCTCAAGCTACATTGCAGATGTGTGGTCATATATTCATCTCCCCTACATGATTGTCAGTCCTCAAAGACAGAGATTATGATTTACTTATTACTACTCCCAGCAATTTTCACAGTGCCTGGCAGAGAGTGAAGATATAAATGTATCTCCAACACACTTCTGGCTTCATATACATGAAGTGACTAAGTAACAAAAAACAGTTGTATTGAGGCTATGTGAATATATTCTTTTTTTTTTTTTTTTAAAGAACCTGAAAGTCTATATATAAATCACAAGGCAATAGCCAATATTCTGTGACTTGGCACATCTCTCTAACTTCAGTGGCTTCAACAAGGTCAGGATTGAGATCAGATGATTCTGATAAATTATCTACTTTCTCTCTCTATTTCTCTACATTTTCTTTCAACCAGCATTCTTCCTAGGTCCCTGTTATCAACCATGTTGCTGTTGTTGTTAGTTGACACTACATCAATTTTTAAACCATACCCACCCCTTGTGATAGAGTGGAACTGTCCCATAGGTTTGTCTAGGCATAATCTTTATGTGAACAGATTATCAAGTTTTTCTCTCATAGAGCTGCTTGGTAGTGGAAGGTTTTAATAGTCAACCTCTTGGTTAGAAGCCAACACTTAACCTTTGAGCCATCAAGGCTCCTTTATCTCCCATAGTTGTCTTAATTGTGTAATAAAGTTGTGAGATAAATCTGTTACTCCTTAGTACAACTTGGATTAGAATATTTAAGGATAAGCACAGTAAAAGTAATTATCTTTTGTATCAAACTTAACAATCTTCTAAGTGCTCAGTGGTGAAGAAAAGTGTTTTACCAGTGACAACTGTAAATAACAGCACCAAGATTTAAACAAGCTTCTGATTCTGCTGCCTTTCATGAGATATCTTACCCAAGGAGAATTTAAGAATTCTCGTTATAACTTATTTCTGTATCTGATTGAAGAGTCAGGTAAAATCATGTAAAGAAAACTTGTTTTTAACTAATATTTACTTGTTTTTATTTAATATTTTGTAGAGATGAAGAGAAATATGTGTTATCAGCACTTTGTCTTCAGAAAGTATTACAAAAACATTTCTAATTTATCAGGCACCTGTAACTCTATACAGGTAGTTTTATTTGTTACCATTGTTTCCTTTTAGGTATATAATCAAAATAGGCTAAAAATCTACTTGATGTAATACAACCTCAGCTCCTCTAAATGCTTCATTAATAGCTAGGATACCTATTTTCTCCTCATCTTAGCAATAACAGTTGCATCATGAGCTATTGAAGAGAATGGAGGAGGAATTTCACACATGCCCAGTACCTAGAATAATACCTGGTACTCAGTAATTGGCAATCCCTTTCTCTTCTCCCATTCCATTGATTTTTCTGTTCTTTACATATCCTGATAGAAATATTTTGACTTTAACATCATATTTCAATTTCATATGCTTCTTTTGAAATATATGAATGAAGAGCATGACCAAATTTAAACTATTTGACCCACAAAATCCAGGTGATATTTTCCCCTCCCACAGTAAGTCAAATCTGTTTTCCTTACTGCAAAAACTTTGTTAAATAAAGATGAAGATTTTTAACTTGAGTTCAGAAGTTACTCATTTGCACAACAAAGCAGTGGTATCACTAGAGGGATGTGGACTACACCAGGTGACACCCTTAAAGGGAATGCCAACAAAAAGACTGTCTATAAAATTTCTGTGCAGAGTTTCAGCAGAAATTTATTATTTTTATAAAGATATTTCTGTTAGTTATAACAACAAAAATGTTTTTTTGTAAACCCAACTAACAATATCAATACCTATAACACTAAAACTCTACGCTAATTTACTTTTTGAACCTTCTACTGCAATCCAGACCTTTCATTATTACTTAATTACAATGATGCTTCAAATCACATGGTTTCATTTGCATGAGCTACAAGCAGAAGCTGTTGTTTTCATTGTTTCTGGTGTTTTCATAGCCACTGATTTTGTCAAATTTTCTAGTACTTTAGCTACAATATTGTAGTAATTAGTATTTTCAAACCTATATCAATAACTTTTTTGAGAATGAAGTAGTGTGTAAAAGGAAAGAAGGAGAAAAATTTAAAAAGCTTCCACTCAGTTACTAATGATGTTGTGCCTAATAATGTTGTAATTCAATGTAGAAAGGTTTTACAAAACGATTTTGTTTGTATTCATATAATCTAAGAAATATTACATTGAAGCAATTTTCAATTATATTTATCACAAATTATTCTTCAATTAAATTTTAAAATAAAAAATAAACATTACTAAGGATTCTGTAATGGTCTGGTATGAGAAGAGGTCCATGTGAGGGGTGACACCTTGAGTGACTGCACTGGGTGACACCAACCGTATTGATGCCATTGCAACAGTGTATAAAAATAGTGCATTCATAGCAATTTAAAATAGAGTGTAGTTTACAGGTTATATTTGCTGTGGATTAAAATTAATTAAAAATGTAAAAATTTTAGAGAATGATATTTCTAAATTTACTAAATATATAAAGGAAACAGAGACCACTATTCACCTAAATATTAGAAAAATATTAGAATAGACCACTACTCACATAAATATTAGAAAATCATTGATATTGGAATTAAAATCTTCAACAGGCAGTGCACATGTTTGGCTATATGTGACTGACAGAAAGTCCCACAGAAGGAAGAAATGTTGTAGTCTTCAGCAATAATTTGGGTTTTGTTTATTATTAAAACAGAGAAAGTTCAAATTGTCAGCTTTTGTTCTTGTTGTGATGTGCCGTCAAGTCAGGCCCGACTCATAGCGACCCCTTCTTGGGTTTCCGAGGCAATATCACTACAGAAGTAGATTGCCCAACCTTCCTTCGGAGGAGTGGCTGGTGGGTTTGAACCGCCAGCCTTCTGGTTAGCAGTCAAGTGCTTTAGGTACTACGCTACCAGAGCTCTCTGTCAGCTTTTAGTGTTTATATTAATGGAGAAATAAAATGTCATGGATAATCTGAACAAACACCTAACTCAACATATGCATAAATGCTACATGGCTAGCATTTTCTTCCCCCTTTGTTGTTGCTGTTGTTAGGTGCCATCAAGTCAGCTCCAACTCGTAGTGATCCTACTTATAACAGAAAAAAAAAAAACACTGGCCAATCCTGTGCCATCCTCACAAGTGTTGCTATGCTTGAACCCATTCTTGCAGCCACTGTGTCAATCCATCTCATTGACGGTCTTCTCCTTATTTGCTGATCCTCCACTTTAACAGGCATGATATCCTTCTGTAGGGAATGTTCCCTTCTGACATGATTAAAGTAGCTGAGATGAATTCTGGCCATTTTTCTAAGGAGCATTCTGGGAGTCCTTCTTCCAGGACAGATTTGTTCATTCTTCTGGTAGGCCATGGTATTTTCAGCATTCTTCCCCAACACCACTATTCAAAGGCACCAACTCTTCCTCTTTTAGGTGTATATGATTAATTTATTGCAATAATTCCATTTTGATTGACAACGTAAAATAATTTTTCTTTATGCAAGAATATCAAAAAGAGACAAGCTTTTAGAAACAAGCTGGGAAGTGAAACCATTCTAAGACTTCAATATACCTCTAGATAAGGCAGACTTTAGGCAATACACGTTTGGCTATAACCACAATAATCCAAACCATACCAGTTGCTGTCAAGATGATTCTGACTCTTGCAGACTTCATGTGGGTCAGAGTAGAACTGTACGCTTAGGGTTTTCAATGATTGATTTTTCAGATGTAGATCATTAAGGCTTTCTTCTGAGGCGCCCTTGGATGGGCTCAAGTCAGGAGCCTTTCAAATAGTATTCAATGACATTAACAATTTTTACCACCCAGGAGCTTCAATCACAATAATAGGTGATCACAAATATCAGTTTTAGTGGAGGAATTGACAGAAAACATACATGGGTCTATAGTTCATGGTTACACAGTTAAAGCCCTGCTTTAAATTACATTTACATATAAATTACTATGAGATTCTGTCTGTCCTATGTGCTCCATCTTTGAATGATTTCAAATGAGTAAATAGAGGTATTTGTTAATCCTGTCTTTGAATTTAAGAGGCACAGTTCGATCATTTAAAACATTGCTTAAGATGTGGTTTCAAAATAAAAGTCCACAATTAGCAAAATCCCACAACTCAGGAGAAAGGAGCCATCATAAACATATTTTTTCATAAAGTGAATCTAATTCTCCAATAGTTCCTGAACTAACAATTTCTTTATTTGCATTTCATAACAGAATTGTCACAATGGTATTCAAATTCCTGCACATCTGAATTCACCATAGAAAAGACTTTGTAGCCTCACAGATAGCTTAGCAATACAAACAGACTCTTGACCCTAGAGAGTTTCACTCTCATAAGTAAGATGGTATCCTGTAGATACACACCATTTTGATGAAAATAGATTCCCTGTCATCTCTCGATTTAGCAGTCTTGGGAGGCTTTTTATAACCCACAGGTTTAAGAGCAAGCTGTTAAGGAAATATACTATACCTTCACACTGTCTGTTTCTCATGTTTCTTTGAAATCCAGGCTTACAGCGACAGAAAGCAGATGTTTTTATTTGATTACAATATGCATCATCTCCACATGGATTCACATTATCTTCACAGGTATATTCAGTGGGGTCTAGGATTTAAAAATATGAAAATTAATACAATTCTAATTTTGAAGTGGGAGTTTACTTTTTTTTTACTTGAAAATTGTATTTATTATTCCTTAGAAAACTGTTTTTGGATGTGTAACATTATGGTCTTCTCTCTATATAAGCTTCATTTCTTATAAAGACCAGATAAACTGAACTCATTTACATTTAATATCATTGAGACATAGGTGTCAACAGTTGTTATAGCTGTCATTAACCTACACTAATTTCTAACAGGAAGTCAAGAATCAATGCTTCTAATGACAGGCTATTTTTTTGCTGACTGAGCGATGGTACTGTGTATGAGTACTACATCTTTCTCCAAGAATAAGTTATATCCTATAAGATACCTAACATGTATTTATTGCTAACTGTAACTACAGTATCCATGGACTCAATCAAGGGCATTGCTATATTACTCTAGCTGGTAAACTAAATCAGCACTCGTTAAACTATTTTAACCTAGACACACACGTAAGGAACAATTGAGTGTTTATGTGCTCTAAAGATCATGGGTTTATATACTGCTGGTATGTATGAGTTATATATAATTTCTGGCATAACAGCCACAATTTCACTCCTGTATTTTCCACTAGAGAAACTATTTTGGAATGCATATAAATAAGAGGGGTATAGTACTGAATTTTCTCTTATTTACTTAAATCAAATTACTGAGAAAGATGAGAACTTTTAATACTATAACATTAGCCAATATTAATCCCAAATGAATCCTCAATAATTTAATGTAATTAAAATACACCAGTAGAGGGATGTCATGATTGAGACATATGTGGTCATATCCTGATGAAAACTGCTTCATCACCTGCTGAGTGACAACTTAGATGCATATAGAGAAAAAGTAAAATCCTCAAAGTAGGAAGTACATTGTGATTTTTATAAATAATCCAAATCCAAGGTCATAAATTCAATTATTTTTCTTTAATTTGGAAAATGAATATTGTGCATTAGCAAACACAAAATTATTAATAACCAGCATCTCACAATTCCTCAAGTACCGTAACTGAACAAAATAATGATGTGTTCTTCAAGAATAATTCAAAAATGGATTAAAATTTAGAATATTGCAAAAATTATTAAGACTTTCATCACTATTCAGCAAAATATTACTCTCTGTATAATTCAAAACTACTAAATTTATATTTTATAAAGTAAAATAATAACAGATTTTTTTTGTGTGTGGTCACGTCAAAGTCTGTATTTAGATACTGAGTTTTTAGCATTAGCTCTAATAATGGTAAAAACAAAACAACAACAACAACAAAAAAAATAAGGCTGTTGCCATTAAGTCATTTCTGATTCATAGTAACCTTTTGCACAGAGTAGAAGTCTTCTATAAGATTTTCAAGGCTATAAATATTTACAGAAGCAGACTTCCACAGAGCTGCTGGTGGGTTTGAACCACTGTCCAAACCACTGACCATTTGGTTAGCAGTCCAGCACTTAATCATTATACCAACAGGCTCCTTTTAACCAAACCAAACCCACTGCCACAGAGCGATGCTGACTCCGGGTGACTCTATAGGACAAAGTAGAACTGCCCAGTGAATTTCCAAGGCTCTAAAATTTTACAGAAACTAACTTCATCTTTCTTCTGCAGAGCACTGGTAGGTTCAAACTGCAGAACTTTTGGTTAGCAGCAATGCTTTAACCACTGAACCACCAGAGCTATTCTTCTAACAAATGTGATCATTAAAAAATCAACATTTCCACCTTGTCCTTTCTGAAATTAACTGATGATCTAAGGTAGTTTTCTCAAAGGCTTAAAAACACAGAAAGCATTTTACTTCAGCAAATTTTTAAAGAACAATCTTTTCACATAGTGGTAAAGAAAAGTTTAAGCAGAAATTGAACTTGTGTGTCACTGAATTTTAACAAAAAACAAACTCACTTATTTTGCAGCCTTGTTCATCTGAACCATCTCCACAATCATCAAGTCGATCACATTGCAGGCTCATTGGGATACATTCCTTATTACTACAAGCAAACTCATCTTTTTTACAAGGTCTTGCTTTATATGTAAGCTTATCTAAAGAGTCAATAGAAAAAAATTATTAGCTCTTCAATATTACCAATATTTCCAAGATATTTTATTAAACGCTGTGGATAACATGGGTTCACAATCCTTTATTTGAAGTTCTTAGACCCAAATGTGTACTGGATCCATACTTACATTTTTTTTATTTCAGAAAAGCAACCATGTATTTAACCTGTAGAAATGAATGCCCTATTTTCACAGGAAAATATTTGAATATTCACCCTAAGTTGGATGTGATAGTTGGAGCTCTGTGTCAACTTGGCTGGACCACAGTTTTGTGTGGTTTAGGCAGTTGTGATGTGGTTATTCCCATGATGGTATCAGATGAATATGTTTTGTACAGCCAATCCATTGAAAGGGAGTTTCCCTAGGGATGTGGCCTGCTTCCAGTATATTTATGGACATCCTGGGAAAAGAGACACTCTTCTGTGGATCAGGATTCTGTTGTGCTGCCTACAACTGTCCATGAGCGAACAATCCACCATTCTGCCTGGAGAGATTTTGGATTCATCACTCATTGCAGGTAACAGCCAGTATACTTCCTGCCAACCTTGAGCTCCTCAGCCCCTTCAGCTGTGAGAGTTGGGAAAAGCCTTCAGCTTGATCCAAAAATTTTGGACTTGCCAGCTTCTATAAGTGTGTGAGCCATTTTCTTAAGATAAATATCTGTATGTATATTAGCTTTACCGGTTTTGTTTCTCTAGAGAACCCAGTCTAACACATAGGATTTTTAGAAAGTTGTACAAATCACCTCAGATCAGATCAGGTTTGTTATCAAGTCAGTTTACCACTTAGTTAAGTAAAGCCTTTGGTTTTAAGAACTTCTTGAATTTCAGAATTGTACAAACAGTATTGGGTATATGTACAAATAACCGATCTAAGCTCTGGTCCCTCAAAGAACTATGAGTTTAACAGGAAACACAGCTGAACCTTTATGTCTTTTTCTCTCTCAACTTCATAGTATTTTCTCAGGCTAAATACTTATCATCAACTGAGATTTACAGACTAGTGGGGATTCTGGACAGAGCTGTACATCTCTACTTTGCAAATGTTATGTTAGCTGATTATTTTCATACCCTGCCAAAGATGAAATATCTGGCAGAAATACTCTCAAATAAAACACATGGAAAGTATTTTTATGATCTAAAATCATAATATTATTGTATCACTGATTTGACTATTACAAATTAATTAGATTTACCACCACAGTGATCTTCATCCGAGTTGTCCCCACAATCGTCAATCCCATCACACATTTTCTCACGATGAAGGCATATTCTGTTATTTCTGCATCTGTGAGGTCTTGAGGGTGGACAGAGAAATTTGACTGGAAAAAAAAAAAAAATCCAAAATATTTGCTTTGGGTACATTAACTTATAAAGAACTACGCTTTTTTTTTTTTTTTGTCCTCTCTTTTAAAATTAATAAACTAGCTTCTCAGAATTATATTTTGTTGTGAAAATTGACTATGTGTAGATACCAGAAATATGTGTGATGAGAGGCTAAGATCATAGTTATTTATGTTAACTATAGGAAAGAGAGCCTAGATGAAAATCTTAAAGTAAGAATCAAATTTAAAGGTCTCATTGCCAAATGCCTCATCTTAGCAGACTTCACTGGTGTATCAAATTAATTTGTGCCTAAAATTGATACAATATGGCAGGAATACTTAGCCATTTGAAACAGCAATTTCATATAGCATTAGAGCTTGAGCAAGCATATGTTACAGGGCCAAAATTAAGAAGAGGCCATCTAGTGAAAAAAATCCCAACAATATTTATGTTTTTTCCTCTCTATCTCTATAAACAAATATACAGATATGTATTTAAGGGCATAGAAGATGATCTTAGTCATTCCTTGTTTATGTGCATGAAAGTGAATGCCAGCAGGGTGTTTTATACCTGTTACTTCCATCACTATCCAATCTGAAGACTTCCACCCCTAAAGTAGGAAACATCTTTAATTACTCTTCTTTCTTACATGTGAAATTCCCCAGAGCTCTATCCTTGGTCACCTTTTGTTCTTACTCTTGAGTTCCCTGCTTAGATATCCTCATTTACCCTGAAGACTTTCAAATTTCTCTCTACTTCCAGCATCTCTCAATGGATTATAGAACATATTCAGTAGAATTTTGAGTACAGCAAGTTCAAAGCTCACTTCTTATCAACCTCCTTTGACTCTTTCCTTCTCTAATCATGAATTTCTTTTTATTTTCAATAATTCAGTTAGTGATACTTCACAGTTGGAAATGTGGGAATTATTCTAACGTCTTCCCTCTCATTTACCTTCAACTCTAATTAGTCAATAAATCCTGGTAATGTTATCCCCAAACCTGCCCCAACTTTTTGTAACCACTGTAGTTATAATCACAATAACTCAACTCTATATCTCTTGAGAAATGCTTCAAAGAATCTCAAATCTCTCCAATTGCACTAATATTCTCAGACAGAACCTCTATAATGTCAGCTGAACTATTGATCTAACACATTAACCTGCTCATCTCTTCTATAGTTATACATGAGCTTCAGAATAAAATTTAAATTTCTATGCATGATGTAATAGGCTAATCATTATCTAGTCTATGTTACCAAGGTAGAATCATGCCCTGTTTTTCATGATAGTCTAGCAATATTACTATCTTACAGCACCTTAAATATATCATATTCCTCTTGCCTCTACCTTCTTGCTTTATTTTAAATCAGGTTATTTCTTCACACATTCTACTCCCCCTTCAGGCTTTTTTTTTTTTTTTTTTAAGTCTCTTAATTTTCTTAATTTGCTCAAATCTCATACTTTAAGACACACTAACTCCCAACTGAAGATTTAAGACTTTTATTACCATATCCTTGTCTTCTATTTTTAAAACAGAACTAAACAAAAAACTAAAATTAAAAACTTTCTTTAGGGCCATGTAAGGAGCTCTGGTGGCACAGTGCCTAAGGCATTTGACTGCTAACCAGAAGGCTGGTGGTTCAAACCCATCAGCCACTCTGCAAAAGGAAGACTGGGTAATCTACTTCCATAAAGATTTACCACTTCAAAAACCCAATGGGCATCACTATGAGTTGAAATCAAATCAATGGCAGTGAGCTTACAGCTAAGAAACATAGTTTTATCCTGAATTTATTATTTCTTAAAATTGCTTCATTTTCGAAACTACTAATTTAAATGTCTCCAACACTGCTTCAATCTCCAATCTTACAACTTTTTTTTTTTTTTTTATTCCATCAGTGTGGTAGTTAATGATATGTGTCAACTTGGTTGAACCTGGTTTTGAACAGCTGGGCAGCTAGATGTTGTTATTTCCATTGGTGACACTGATAATCAACTCTGTGGTGGAATCTACTGGAATAAAAGAGTAGCTCCCTCAGGGATATGGTCTGCTTCCAGTGTATAAGAAGAGCCATTGAGAAAGGCCTCTGAAGCTTTTTGGCATGCTTGGACCCTTCATGTAGATGAGTCTTCATTTAACAACCTGCCATGTTGTCTGTCAATCTTAAGATTATTCCTGGACTTAAACCAGTGGCCTTCTGTGTTGTTTGATAATTTTGAGATTGTATCATTTTTTCAAGTCAACCTGGGTTTGTCAGTGTCAGCAGCTAGCAGCTGTCTGATTTAAGAGAAGACTCTAGCTTCAGTGGTCTAGAAGCAAGAGGCAGAGCTGAAGTCCAAGGTCAAAGGGACTTTATCCAGCCCCTAGAATTTAGTACTTTGAATTAGGACTTCTAACCTCCTAAACTGTGAAAGAATAAATCCCTATTTGTCAAGGCCATTCATTTGTGGTATTTTCTGTAAGAGCAGCACTAGAGAACCAAAACAATCAGTCTCACTATGACCCACCAGCCACTCCTCGGAAGGAAGATAGGGCAATCTACTTCCGTAGTGATACTGTCTCGGAAACCCAAGGAGGGGTCGCTATGAGTCGGGTCCGACTCGACGGCATATAACAACAACAACAACAACAATGACCCTTCTACAGCCTATCTGGAATTCTAGTTGTTGATACATCTACCTTCTCCTTATTCATCAATTTATTTTTCTTCTTTCTTTTCCCTACTGATATTAGATTCCAGGTTTCATATTTTCAATTACTTATTCAAAATACATTTATTGGGAACCTATTACATGTTGAATACTATTTTCCTCGACTCTTTTAGAAACTTATTCTGTTCCACATCACCAGATTTCTCTACGTCTTTTTCAACGTAGTTATCTAACAAAACTCCAAACTTAATTAAATTGAACTATCTACCATCTCAATATCAATGTCTGCATCTAAGAAATGGGGAATATTGCATTGATCAATCACATTGCAAGATCAACTGGTACCACCAAATATGATGTTTAGTAATGCTAGTTGGGCCCTCAATATCACTCCAATTATATGTGTGTGTGTGTAGAGACAGAGAGAGAGAGAATCATGTCATGCACCTATCCTATTCAATAATGATTCAAATCAACCTCTCACATCCTAAATATGATTGTGTTTATTACTACACAAAAATAAGTGGAAATAGAAATATATCTTACTAAATAATTGCATATATATTTTCATCTACATGTAATCTGCTCCTCTCATTTCATTTTTCATAACAGAGATGGTATCCCTAGTCCTAAATTAATTTATCCAATTGTTCAGGATCACATTTCCTCTCACTTCCCCACAGAACCAACTCATCTTTTTGCAGCACTCCCTTTTCTTTTCTTTCTTACTCTCTCCTTATTTCCATCTCTCCCTCCTTCTCTCCCTCCCTCTGTCCATCCTTCAATCCTTCCTTCCTTCCTCCCTCTCTTCCTTCCTTTTCTTTTTTTTTTTCTTATGCTTAATCCTATTTATTCTAAGTCTCTTCTGCCAACTGATATTCTTTTAGATGTTGATGTCATTCAATACTTTATCCTAACCCTCTTCTTATCTTTCACTTTTCTTCCTCCCAGTATAACCCTATCTAATTACACAATATCTATTACCACCTTTTATATTGACTTCAGATTTACATCCCTAGACCAGATCTTTCCTTTAAGCTCTGTAACCACACTCCTAAAGCCTTCTTAAAATCTCTATTTGAATGTCTTCTCGAATGCATGCAAAATCAATTCTCTAATACTACCTTGTAACTTTTTTTCCTCTTCCTATGTTCCCATCCATTCAAAACTGCAAGCAAAACACCCTAACATATACCTGACAACTACCTTTTCAGCATCCCTCCCTTATCCAATATACTATTTGTTTCTATTTATTTTGCCCTTTAAATCACCTTCAAATCTATTTTTTTTTTTTGCCATCATGTGTTGTCATCACCTTATTCTAGTTATAAGCATAGCTAGCCTAGAGTACTGCAACAGATTCTTAACTGGTCTTGTCTCTTTCTATTTATGATTATTAAAATACAAATATGACCATGTGCTCTTCTGTTAAATCACTTTGGTATTTTCAATTGTTTTCAAGCTAAATCCAAAAATCCATGTCAAGACTCATAAGGTCACAGGTATCTGTCTTTTGAGTTCCATTTTAAATCAATGTTGATTTTGTTCTCTATTCACTGCATGTAGTTCTTTCAGTTCCTCCAGTAAGCCATGTTTTGCCCTGCCTCAAGACTTTACATGTCTTGTTTTTTTTTGCTTACAGCATTGTATACACCTTCAAAAATTCCCTTTTGCCTTTTTGACAATATACATATCTCAGAACCTCAAATCAAATGCTACTCATAACCTAAGACAGAATAATATTCCTTTACTCTATAGTTTGTTACAATACTTTTGTAAAGTAGTATACTTTTTATCCACCACATAAAATACGGTTTTTAATTACATACTTTCATTATCATTAGTTTTCATTTTCCATTAGTTGATAAACTATGTGAGGTCTGTCCAGGTCCATACTTTATTTCTTTGTAATTATTATTTCACCAAAACTAATCACTGTGTCTGACTTTATAATTATTTTTTGAATTAATGAATGAATTATATATTCCCCATACTACTCACTATGTCTATGGAACTTTTTGAATCCCTCTTCTTTAAAATGTCTTTTTCTTCTCCCTTCTACATAGAGTTCATCTCCTATCTCTCTGCCATGTCTGTGCTTTTGCTTAATACTACCATTGCTTGAAATCCAATATATGGAGATTATAGTTATTTTTCCAAGAAGAAAAAGAACTCATTGTCAGCAAAAAAAAAAAAAAAAAAAGGCAAAATAAAATATGTGCTATTGATTTCTTATCCCAATTGCTTAGCACAGTCTTTGGAACATACTAGTTTAATTCAGTGTTGATAATGACGACTGAGGGGAAGGCAAAACATTCAGAAAATTAAGCTGGATTTTTTTAGTTTGCCAACTGTGATATTTTGAATGCTTCTAAGAATCTCTCATGGCCTTGGAAGTGATCCCGGGAGTCTGAATCTGTAATTTGCAAGGCTAATTAGTTACCCTATAGTTCCTATTCCATTCACTAGTTTTCTGGTGCACAAAAATAGAAGATAAAAAAATACATAAGTTTATTCAAATACTAGGTTCTTACTTAATTTGGGTAGATAAACTCACAGATTTTGATGTAGATTGATTCAGAAACAATATAATCTTGTGATTCCATGATTCTCTAGAGTTCATTTTATAAGATATTGGAGAAGAATTAAAATCAAAATGAAATTGAATTATATCTCTTGTCAGTTGTACCTACAAAAACTCTCCAAGGGCTTTGTCTATTTTAGATTTTAAATCTTTTTGAAATAGAACAGCCTTCTTGGTTTTTGTTTTGTTTTGTATGTACTGTAATGTTTGTACGTCTGTGGTCAAAGTCACCATCCATCAGGAAATTCTGCTTTAACTCTATGCATCAAAGAGAACAAAAATTTAAGGAAATGCACTCCTTGTATTTTATTTTATTTTTATTTTTTGTAAGTTTGCTATTTCTAGACATATACAAAGTACTAATATCTTCCCTATTATTCAAATTTATGCCCCAACCACCAAAGCCACAGATGAGGAAATTGAAGAATTTTATCAGCTTCTACAGTCTAAAATTGACCAA